GCTCCCCATCCCCTGCCTGCGCCGCGCCCCGAGCCGTCCCCGGCCCCTGCCGCCCAGCCCTGCCTTGTCCAGGTCGGGCCTGGCTCCAGGAGGTGGTCACGGGCACCTGGCTCGGACGCTCGGTCTGCACCCAGGGCCTGCGCTGGCCAGGGCTCGGGCTGTAGGCGGGATGGGCGCCGTCCACAGGCCACCCTCCGCCCGTGGGCCCTGTCCACCTGCTTCCACGGGCGGGGGCAGGGCCAGCAGTGCTGACCTGGCTGAGGACAGCAGTGAGAGGGCACCAAGCCCTGGCCGGGATGGGGCAGCCCGTGTCCGGCGCCTGCAGGGCGGTGTCGCTGGGCCTGGGGGCCGAGGGTGGACCTGTGGCCGAGGTGTTCTGGCTCACCCGGCCGCTCCGTGCTGCTGCCCAGGACAGCGCTGGAGCCCACGCCTCTGCCCGCCTCACCCCGCTTGCCACCAGCGGGGCCTGGCAGGCCTGGCAGCATGGGAGGGTGGCCAAGGGGCGGGCGCCGGGCCGGCCCCTCAGAGCATAGGCCCCTGACCCCGGGTCAGCGCTGACGTCGAGGAGCATCCTGGGGCTCCTCCGTGAGGTCAGGGCGGTTGGACAGGTGCCCACCAGCGTGGAACCCAGTGCAGCCCCACAGCTCTGTTGCAAGCTCTCAGCCGGGCGCCCCGTGACTGGTGGGCCCTGGCATCCCGGGAAGGCGGCCTCCACTCTAGAAGGCCGGGGGCCCCAGAGAGGGCTGGCGCTGGCCAGGCCACACAGGCGGTCGGGGCCCGAGGGGGCATGTTGTGTCTTCCGGCTGGCCAGCTCCTCCAGGAAGCCTTCTCTGGCCGCCTGGTCCTCCACCTGCCTCTCGGTGCCGCGGGCTGCTGCGGTCTGCTGGGGAGAACGGCCCGCAGCCGGCAGCCCGGGGCTCTGGTACTGAGGAGAGCTGCCCGGGGAGGAGGGCACGGCTGCCCATCCCGGGGGTGCAGGCTGGGGGCTACATGGCGCGGTGACCGCTCAGTCCCTCGGCGCCCCGGGGGCTGAGGTCCTGCCACGGTTCTGGATGTCTCCAGGGTCCGGGCCCTGCCCAGGACGCGGGGTCCTTTGTACCCACGGCCGGTGCAGGCCCCGGGCGAGCAGGGTGGGGGCCCCCCGGTCCTGCCTCCCGAGACCTGGCCCGGGGGAGGCGCTGGACAGAGGAGGGGCTGGGGGCCAGGGTGCAGCCTAGGGGGGCTGTGGGGCTGACCTGTGGGCTGGCGGGGGCCTGGCCGGTGGGGCTCCCTCATGCCCCCGGCAGCCCGGGCTTGGGCTCGCCTGGGAGGATTCCAGGAACAGCTCCTGCCCGACAAAAATAGCCTCCGAAAGGCCCCGAGCTCGGCAGGTGCCCCGCCCCGGCGCCCCAGGCGGGGCCAGGGAGGCTGGGCCCGGTCTGCAGCCGGCCACCGGCCGTGTCCGGGCTTTAGCAAGCCGGACGGCCCTTTCCCTTGGACAGATGAGGAAACTGAGGCAAGGCTGGGGAAAGCAGCTGCCCTAAGTTCCTCTCCCAGAGGCCGAGGTTCCGTGACTTGGGCCTCGGGGGTCAGTGAGACTCAGCCCACCGGGCCAGGCATCAGGGCCAGTGCTGTCTCTGTCCACCTCCGCCGTCAGGGCTGGGGCCCCGCGGCCAGAGGCGGGCCTGCCCTGCCAGTGGGCCTGGGGCACTAGCCGGCCAGCCCTTGCTTGTGGCCCCCGGGTCATCCACCTGGCCTGTTGACTGCGGGGCTAGGGCAGGAGGCAAGAGCCCGACTCTGGACACAAGTGGGGTGGGTGACCAGACCCCTACCCGCTCAGGAGGTGACCTTGTCCAGCTTCGGTGCAGACCGCATTCTAGCCTGGGCCCTGACCCTTGACCTCACCAGTCTAACCTCTGACCCCTGCCCACACCTGACCTCCTTAGGCCGAGGGGAGTGGCCGTAGGCCAGGAGCAGGTGTCGTCTGGGCACCCCCACCCACCACCTCAGCCCTGACTGCTTGTCCAGGGCTCGCTCACCCTGTCCCCAGCCCCCAGAGGCAGGACAGGTCACCTTCAGCTTTGCTGCCAGTCCCGGTTCGCACGCCCCACGGGAGCGTGGCCCCAAGCGCAGCCCCGCTCTGGAGTGCGGCCCCAGGAGGCAGGTGTGTGGCGCGGGCTCAGCCCTGCACACTCGGCCAGCGCCCAGGGCCGGCTCTCCCCTCTCCCTCGCCCCTCCCACCTGCAGCAGGGTGCGCCAGCGGGGTCCTGGTCCTGGGCTGGGCCCGGGGCTCAGCGGGGTGCCCACACTGGCCGCGGCAGGAACCCCAAGGGCGTGTTTTCTGACCCTGGTTGTGCAGACAGGGAAACTGAGGCCAGTACCGGAGGCTCCCCCAGCCCAGCCTGGGGGCGGTCTCCCTGGCCTGGACTCTGGGCCCTGGCGGGAGGGCAGCCCCAAGGTGCTATCCGCCCGCCCCGCCGGGCCATCCTGCGTCAGCCTACGCCGCTGCCCGGCAGCTGGGCTCGGCCTCTGGCACTCCCGGGGCAGATGCGCCCTTTGCTCCGCTGCAGTGGGGTGCTTGGGGGGTGCTTGGGGGGTGCTTGGGGGGCGAGGCCGCTCTCCTCTCCGCCGCGTGTGCTGGGGCCCAAGAGCCCGCTGCGGTAGCTCGCGGCTGTGGGTGGGGTGTCTGCTAAGCACGGGCTGGGGTGTGGGGTGCCCGGCGGGGTGAGGGCACCCGGCAGGGTGAAGGCGCCTGGCGGGGTGAGGGTGCCATGGCAGGGTGAAGGCGCCCGGCGGGGTGAGGGCGCCCGGTGGGTGAGGGCACCACGGCGGGGTGTGGGCGCCATGGCGTGGGCTCCGCAAGTGTGGGTGTGCTCCCGGAACCCCATGTCCTTGGCTCTCCTGTCAGCTTGGGGCCTGGCGCATGCTGGCAGAAGGAGCACTGGGGGGCCCCCAGCAGAGCCCAGGAGACAGTGTGGC